TAATAGAAGATTGAGCTGCCAGGCAGGAGGAAATGAGGAAGACCACAGAGAAGATAATAGATGTAGTGTAGGAGGATATGCAGAGGTCTGTGGAAATCGTGCTTATTATATAACAGCTTTGATAAGATTTTCTATATTTAACTAAAATAAGACAAATACACTGTATTTCAACCCTTTTCTTCCATTAAAGGCCTTTGATGAAGCAAGACCAATTGTCCGATGGTTCAACAAACAGATCAGAGAGAATGGAGGCTATGGGTCAGCTCAGGTAAAGAAGACATCTTAATATCCTCATGTACTGATCCACTGATGAAGTTAATCTTGCTCTGGCCACAAATGATTGATCACTGATCATTTTTCTCCCCAGGCCACAATGACAGTGTACCAGGCAATAGCAGAGTACTGGATCAGTGAAAAAGAGCCAGATTACGATCTGAATGTGGACATCTTGTTGCCGGGGAGGTCAAAGCCTGATAAATACAACTTTAACTGGGAAAACCACTTTGCTACAAGAACATCTAAAGTGAGAAAGCGTTCTTTTTCACATAAGTAAATACACAGCATCTCTGTTCCTTCTGCTTGCTATGTGTTGATTTCTGCATCCCTGACAGATCAACGTCATAAACCAAGACGTGAAAGTGTCAGCCATAGGACCAGGAGAAGCAACACTGACGGTAAGTAAAATGCAATGTTTTGGTTGTTTATTTGTTGTTTATTTGTTTCCTTGTGTTTGAATTTGCTGTAAGCTCCTGTTGTCTGTATCACAGATAACGTCGCTGTATTATGAACTGCCGAAAGAAAAAGAAGACAACTGTCAGAAATTTAACCTGTCAGTGCAGCTCCTTCCAGGTAATTTGCTGCCCTCTGTCGGTTTATCCATCTTAAGATAACTGTACACATTTTTTGACTATCTATGTGAGGTAATTTTCTTATTTTAATTTGATTTTTTCCGAGCTTTTTAAAAATAAATACTGTAAATCAGATTTAAAGTTTTCCATTGCTTTGCCTCTGCAGAGTCGCTGGGTGATGATGAAAACATCTACAACCTAAAAATTAAGGTTTTGTAAGTAGACAAAAAATAAATATATGTATTTTTCATTGAACTTTTCAAATGATTTGATTTCCGTTAAAGGTTTTAACAATATTATATATTATTCCCACCAACAAATGAACAACCTTGAGCTCACACTTGGAAAATTTGTGAAATTAAGTCACCAGGCAGAAAAACACCTGTTGCGACCGCGCACGGGGCGATCTGCACTAACCCGCTAATGGAGATTTGGCCTGTTGATGCGGTTATGCCGTTAACGTCATTTTAACAAGATTAGCGCTGACAGCACTAACAATTTTATTTAAAACATTTCTCTCGCAGCTCTTGTTTAGAGCTATACAGATTTGTAACTTTTGTGTCTTTTACTGCTGATAAAGAAATTGTTCTTGCCTTTTCATTCTTTGATTACTTATTCTCCCTGTTCTGTTTACAGCTATAAGAACAAGGAGCGCAATGCAACCACACCAGTCTTGGATATAGGCTTGCTAACTGGCTTCACTGTTAGCACAAAAGATCTGGATTTAGTAAGAAAAATAAACACAAATGGGCTCAAATTGTTCAGAATTCAGTATTTCTAATTAAGGAGGCATCTTTAAATTTTGAACCGTGGATGTGTGTGTTTCATTGTAGCAAGCCAAAGGGCATGCCCGCACTATTTCAAAATACAGGCTGAGCACTGAGTCAGAGAGAAGATTGCTCACCATTTACCTGAACAAAGTAAGCGATCAGTGTTCCCCCTCTCTCTACTTTTTCTCTTTTGACCTGTGCTTGCATCATTTTTTAATTCCTTTTCATAACTTCTCTCCTCTAGGTTCCTTACACGGAGCTGGAGATTGCCTTTAGGGTCCATCAGAAACTGAGAGTGGGCATCTTACAACCAGCTTCTGTATATGTCTACGAATTCAGCGACCAGCTACAAAGTGATCGTGAGTTTGGCATCTTTGAATCGTTTTTTGAGCGTAAAGGATTCATCTTTGCTTCCAGTAGATTTCACTTCATGTGGTTGGGTGCAATATTACATTTTTAAATGTACTACAATGGTGCAAAAACATCTTTATTTGTCAATGCAGACACAAAATGTGTGAGATTCTATCATCCAGAAAGGAAAACTGGAGAGCTGCTGCGCCTCTGTAGAAATGATGAATGCATATGTGCTGAAGGTAAGCAGGAGATGACGCTACATACATTTTTTTTAACCTCTGAAATTCTTTATTAAACATTTTTGGTATACAAAGGTTAGAACAGGTAGATTGTACACAATACTTGGAAGTTTTTTTTTTCTTTTTTTTTACTATAAAAGTACTTTAGACACTCCATGACAAATACACCCGTGTGATTCAATCGCATCAATGTGGCCAAAATCTTTGAGGAATGTTTCCAGCAACTCTTTGAATATGTTTTGTGACGAGTTGCGGAGGCAACCTGATACTACCAAGATGTAATGACTCGGCTGCTGGGTGTATATTGCAGTTGCTAGTTAGTTTTTGGTAATGTATTTGACCCATGAGATGTAAGATTCTATTGTTTAATAGGAGCTCATCTGTCAGTCAAATGCAGATAACACAAACACAGCTCTAACATATTTAAAATGTGGCTTAGATCCATGCAGCCATCACCAGTCCACAAAATTCCACATAATCTCATTTAGTTCCTTTATCCCTTTGTGCCTGTTGTATATTTCCAGAGAATTGTAGTATGCAGAAGAAGGGAAAAATCAACAATGATGAACGCAAAGATAAGATTTGTGAGACTACAGTGAGGAGCAAAATAGATTTTGGTAAGTTTGTTTTTAATAAATATGGATTAAATACTCTAAGGAACAGAGCAGGTGAGCTAACAGTCTACAAACTGTCTGTCCTCAGCATACAAAGTGAGCGTGGAACAGTTTAAAGATGGTTTGTCCACAGACATTTACACAGTGCAGGTGCTGGAAGTCATCAAAGAAGGTAGGTTGATTTTATTTAAACCTGTGACAGAACCAAAAGTGTTTGCGATTTGTATTGTTTCCCTATCTGATCCCCTATGGTGATACCAGATATCTTCTTTGTCTGAATTTAAGACATTTTCAGCCATCATTATTTTCAAATATTTGGCTGAGAATTTCTCAGAATTAAAATGCCACCTAATTTTTCATAGCTGAGCTTCTTCTTAATATGTGAATTTTAAAGGAATCACAATTAAGTATGATTTAGATTCATTTTCTGGGCTCTGACCAATAATTCTTCCCAAACTGCCTACTTATGTGTTTGTTTGTTTTCAGGTAGTTTGCAATCTTTCAGAAGTGATGATTAGAGCTACAAATAATACAAAGAAAATGTAAAAAAATTCCTTTATGTGTTATTTGCATTTGTTCTTCTATGTATTGATTACAGGAAGTTATGATGTGGGTGCTCAGGGTAGACAGCGCACGTTCCTAGGTTATCCACACTGCAGAATGGCTTTAGATCTGGGAGTGGGCAAAACCTTCCTTATGATGGGAACATCTGGAGATATTTTCAAAGATGAAAATAGTCAATCGTAAGTTGTTGTTTTTTTCTTCTTGTGATATTGGGAGTATTCATAGATTTGTAAGATTTTTTTCTGTTTTTCACTTTCAAATTAGGTATCAGTATGTCCTTGGTGAGAGAACCTGGATTGAGTACTGGCCTACAGTAACAGAATGTACAACTGAGGAACATAATTCTACCTGTTTAGCCATTAACGAGATGGTCAATGAATACATGATCCGAGGATGTCGAAATTAGTGAAACTGAAGAGAATAAAAATAATCTATAAATGTTTTTTAAAGGTTGAGTCAGACACTTCTTAAAAAAAGGCAAACAAAAGCCTGCCTTAGCAACACAGAGAATTAGACTAGCTTTCCGAAGGAGAAAATAAAGAAAAAAATCATAAACTGTATATTAAAGACAGACTTCCAGGTCTGTAGTGAGGCCAGTGAGGAAGTGTCTTAAACGTGCATTCTTCCACCACATCCCAAATGTCCCCTGATGGACTGAGACAGAGACAGGAAGAGGAAGACAGGCAAGAATAGAACTGGTCGACTGCAAGGAGATAATAGGTGAATTTTTCAAGTAGTATACAGAAAAATAATCAGTTACTCCACATTTACATTACATTTTGAAAAAATACAGTGTAAATGGTACCTATATTTGGACAAACATGTAAGAATCGTTTGTAAAACATCATGTAACATCATGTGTACGAAGGTGGTTAATAGATAGTTAATAATAACAAAAATAAAATGTCAGCATGTTTGCCCATGTAACAACAAATAAAATTATATAACCTGAGTTATATCTGCACTACTTGTCCTTTTTAAAAAAAATTATTTTATATCGAGCTTTTTTTCCTTCCTCAAAACTTAGGTTACATTGGCAATGTATGCACTGTGAACTGTGCGAGAACAGATTGCCGTCATATTTGATCTTAGTGGCTGCAATTGTGTTTGATTAAGTTAACATAGTCACAGTGGAAAATGTTGAGAATCACACTGTAACGCACTGGTTTTCAGCACTGATTAATGCTCTGTGGAAATACTCCCAATGCAGCTACTGGTTTTCTCACACAAGTCAAATGAAAGTTAGAACAAAAACGAAGTAAAGGTCATTTTTGGAGGCGCCTTGGATTTCTTTGCAATAAAGTATTTATTTCATGGTCTGAAACTTTTCCTCTGTGTAGAAAACTTGATCAGTCAGTGAAGAGACATATACAGGTCTAAATAACTGTGGCATTGTAATTATTTTTTTGTTTCTTTTGAACAAGTAAACAACAGAAAGGCATTTATATGTCAGCTCTTGGCATTTCTCTACTATATGCATATATACACACTATTTTTAAAATATTTTTCTTGATATTTCTCGAGGATATTTATGTATTTAGTTTAATCTAGCTGCAATACAACAAATTACCATTGGAGGGCAGCACCACCCTTCTATGGACAATGTAAAATAAAGACGTCGAAGAAGACGAAAGTGACGTACTTCCTTCAGCCAAGCAGCGGCTCCTTCTGTTGGTGTACTTGGAGAATAAAAGAGGCTAACTGTAACTTGCGTCTTTGAAGCCAGGCAACTTTGACAGCGTGTGAGCTCGGCGATAGTAAAGTGCGAAGTGACTCACTAAATCTGGTTCAAGAGAAAAAAAGGCGTAAGAGTTTCTCAGGTTAAGGTGCGTCTGAAGATATGGCCAAGGTACAAGTGTTAAATGTTGCTGTGTTGGATAACCCCAGCCCGTTTGGAAACCCGTTTCAGTTCGAAATAACGTTTGAATGCATGGAGGACTTGCCGGAAGGTGGGTATTTAGCTAGCGTGTCATTCTAGTTGAATTACTCTTTTGTTATATGTTAGCTGTAGAATAGCAGCGTCGTGTGGGCGCAGTCTGCTTTAAGTGTTAATTTCACCGCTGGATATATTTGTTGCATCATAAGTGAACGATAAGCACGTTATTTTGCTCGATGGTTATTCAGTATTAGCTGTCGTTTGGGCTGTAAAGTTCTATTTCATTTGTAAAGTTGTTGAAAATTGGCGCTGGCGCGTTTGTGCAGAGCGCCCCGCCTCCTGCCCACCGCTATTGGTTAAAGGACCTTCCTCGTAAGTATTTCTCAAGAAGCTGATTGGTCGGTCACATGTTACTGTAGCAATAAACAAGCTCGAAATTTGCCGCGAACCGCGCGACGGGATAGCGGGGAAATATATTTTTCTTTAAGGATATAAAAGTAGCCCGCATTTTCTTCTACTAATTATAGCACAATGGACTTGTGAGCCCTAAGTGGCATTATATTATTTGCTGCTTTGCTGTGAACATTTGGTATCTATAATACCGAAACTTAAGTTTCATTACCTTTCCGATTTAAAAAAAAAAAAAAAAATCTATTTTCCTGTCAACAAAATTTAAGTATAAGCTTCAGTCTGAATTTATTTGTACGTATTATATCTTGGCCCATTTTTTACTAGTTCTCGACACAGCACCCTTAACATTTATTTGATTTTAAAATTAATGGATAAGCAGATATTAAATATAGAATGTACTGAACTGTCTTAAAATCAAGCCTACCAATAGCATCATGCTACAACTTCCAAGTTTAGTCTCCTGTTTTCTGCCGTTCATTTAAAATTGAGCCCAAATAATATTACCAAATACACATTAGGAGCAAGTAGAGTTTCAAATTTTGTCAGCACCTCAAACAAACTGAATTGCTTTTTGTCTCTTTCGTATTGTGGTGCTAGTTGGACTGAGTCACAAATCTTGTTTTGTTTTTTCTTTCATTACCAAATCCAGTTATTAATATCCCAAAACAACATTTGCACCATTAAACATTGTTTTTCTCCCTTATATTCAAATCAATAAATTGTGGAAACTTGAGGTTTTTATGGAGACTGATGCCGTTTCGGTTATATCTGGCCAGTGCTACAGGTAAATTTTATTTGCATTACTAATACTAATTAATACAGGGTGAACTATAACAAAAAGGGACAACCATGAAACATTTTCTATGTAAATTGGATAAAGTGACCCTTCTGGTGAAGGTATCATTCACAATACCCTGTTTTAC